GGAGAGTGCGCTGCTTGGGAGCACAGCGGCGCTTCTGCTGAGGGTTCAGATCCCATGTGGAGACCGGTTCCCACTCACTGGCTGAGCGGATGCGGGCGCAACACCGAGGGTTGCAATCCCGTTGCCGGTCCCTGGTACGGGCGCCACACCGAGGGTTGCGATCCAGTTACTGGTCAGTAAAAAAGGAAAAAAAAAAAAAAAGGAGAGAACATGAGACTCTCTTTCTCTCTGCTTCTGTCATCTCACTGAAGCCACCACCAAGCAAGGCCTTCACAGATGTGTTCCCTGAAGTGTGGACATCCCAGCCTCAGAGAGTGTAAGCAATAAATGTCATTTTCTTATTAATTGCCCAGTTCCAGGCATTTAGTTATAAGCAACTGAAGGAAATGGTTAATGGACTTCTGTGGACAGCACCCAAGGACGTGTTCACCTGGTGAACTCGCAAACGAGTTAACCAAGAAATGTCAAGGACTGCAAACAATCCTTGAGAACGCTTGAAGTCGTGAGAACACTTTCTCGGGATGTTCCCAGGAGTCACCATATAGATAACCAAGTGCTTGAGAAGGGAGGTAACGGCTTCTGCTCTTGAGAAAAGTATAACAGAATTTATGCATGAATGCTTCTCTCGCATGCACTAGCTTGCTAAATGTAGTAAAAGCTATAACAGCGGCTGGGTCGGGGCTACTTGCCTGAGAGAGCAGTGGCCCCCCGCTCTTCACCTGCATCTCGTCTGCTGCGTCTTCCTTCGCGTCTCCGATCATTTTAATCAACAAGCAACAGTAACAGACAACTACATGGGTATTATAAGCAACAGAAGTGGAATATAGCCACCTAATTTGCATTATCAAAACTGCTCAAGAAGCACAGAAATCATCTAAAGGAAGAGTGAGACACAAAGCTCAGGGGAGCTGTTGCCAGCCTGTTCGTGCCTGAGCAGAACCGAGTGCACCACCCAGCACGTGACACGTGGTCAGCTTCCACAGGGGGTTGCTGCTCAGTGACTCCGTGCTTGTTTAGTTAATTCCAGAGTCACACACGTCACATGTGCAAAATAAAGGGGTCGTTCTCAATGCAGTTCTAATATAAACATTAGGTGTTTATATTAGCATTAGCTAAGCAAATTGTCGTTAATCAGACTCAGCACTTTCAGTACTAAGATTCCAGCTACACTCAGTAGCTATGGGCATTGGAGTAATGAGACAGGAAATATCTTTATAAATACATCCTATTTGCCCCTGAATTAATCAAAGTCTGTTTAAATAAAATTTGGATTTAATATATATTCATTGTTAAGAATGATTCCCCAAGAAATATGACACCAAGAATGATGAAGAAAAATGAAAACAGCAGAAAAGGCAGCAACAAGGACCGGGTGCGGGTTAACGTTCCTTCGGAAAACAGGAAAGTTGCCACCTAATCCTGAGTTTCTAGGACAGCACAAGAAAACGTATAAAAAGCAGTAAGTTTAAAAATCTGGCAAGATCTTCAAACTCTGAAAACCTCAGTGTTCGGTGGGAGATGGAGCAGAAGCCCACCGGGCAGCTGAGCTTTGGTGCCCAGCCCCACGGCGGGCTGTGGCCACCCGGGGACACGGGAGCAGGGGACATCGTGTCCATCATTAGTGCATTTCAGACCACACAGCAGAAGTGGCCTTTCTGTTTTCATCTTACGAAAGGGTCTACAGTCCAAAGGTGTACAGTGAAATGCCTTTTGGGGAAGAAACCTAGAAACTGACAGATCGATGGGGTAAAGGCCAGACATCAGATACCAACCTAAAAGCACATGAGCATTGCCCAAATTCTTCAGACGTTCACGGGTGTTCTCTCTGGTGGAACTTTCTGGAAAGTCAGCCCTAGCGGGGAAGCATGAGCGGGTGTGTGTGTGAATGGTGTGGTGTGTATGTGTCTGTGTATAACTGTGTGTGTCTGTGTGCACTTATGTGGGGGGTGTATGATGCATGGTGTGTGTCTGTTTATAGTGCACGTTAAGTGTGTGTGATGTGTGTCTGTGTATGTGTGTGGTGTGTGTGTCATGTATAGTGTATGGCATGTGTATATGTGTGTGTGGTGTATGTATATATGTGTAGCATGTGGTGTGCATGTGTCCATGTGAGGCGTGTGGTATATGCGTGTCCATGTGTAGCATATGGTGGATGTCTGTGGTGTGTGTGTCCATGTATAGTGTATGTGTGTGTGTGGTGTGTGTATATATGTGTAGCATGTGGTGTGCATATGTCCATGTGAGGCGTGTGGTATGTGTGTGTCTGTGTGTAGTGTATGGTGTGTGTGTGGGGGTGGTGTGTGTCCATGTGTGGCATGAGGGTTGTGTGTGTGTCGGTGCAGCGGATCAGGCTGGGAGAGGGTGGGTGGAGGTGGTTAATGGAATAGGCAGGATGGAAGGAACTTTGTGAAAAATAGGCCAGGAAATGGTCTTTGAAACCCAGTCTGCAGACGGGGATTTCTAACTGGAAATGTTTACTTTTGGACTCTCCCTATATTTTTATGTTTCCCCTGCTTTCTCCATGTGTTTGTAAACAGGAACTAAACCCTCGACACTCCCAAGCATCTCACTCTGAGGAAAGGGGCAAAGGGCCAGCCAGGCCCAGCCTGCAGCTCCCCCGGGGACCAGGCACCGGGCCCCAGCCCAACAGACCCCTCTGTGGCATGGCGCTCCCTGGCCTTGCTCCCCTCTGGCCCCCGACACCTCCCAGAGTCCCTGCACACCTGTGCTTTATGAGGAGGTCCCCAGCCCAGCTGGAGCCGAGGTCGCCTCTGTCGCACGGGAGGTCTTTCCGCTGTCACGCAGCAGGGGGCTTGCTCGTTCCTACCAAGTGGAAGCAAGAGAGGAGCAGCCTGGAATCGGTTATGATGGACAGCAGAGGGGTGGCCTGCAGCAACGCTGGGCTCCCTCGGGCAGGCGGGGGTGGGCAGGGGGCACCAGGTGCACGGGCTGAGCCAGGCCTGCAGGGACCTCCTCCCCTGAGCCACAGGAGGGAGCGACACCCCATGCCACTGCCCCAGCCCCCCGTGATGGTGCCCTGGTTGACAGGCTTGGGCCATCTGTGTCCAAGAGCTGCACCAGGCAGAGTGGGTGAGCTCCCACCAGAATGGGGCAGGGAGAACCGAGCCAGGAGTCGGGGCAGGTGGACTAGACAGAGCAGCGCCCGGAGGGGCAGCTCACTGCCTGGTGTGTGCAGCCTCCACGGCAGTGAAGTGTGTATGTATGTACAGAGAGGTAGACTCTGAAGAGTGGTATTAGACATTATAAATGTATTTTATATAAAATTATCATGAAACAAATATACAGTATTTATTATACACTATATAAAAATATATCGTGTATGTACTATGTAACTAATATATAGTAAATAAAATATATAATGCTCATATAACTATATTTAAAATGTGTTTTTTTGTTTGTTTGTTTGTTTTTTGTCCTTTTTGAGACCGTCCGCACCACGCTCAGCCAGTGAGCGCTGTGAGCGCACTGGTCATCCCTATATAGGATCCGAACCCGCGGTGGGAGTGCTGCTGCGCTCCCAGCACCGCACTCTCCCGAGTGCGCCACAGGCTCGGCCCTAAAATGTGTTTTGAAGCCCTCTGAAGGGTCCTGTTTAGGTGCAAAAGAAAAAGCATGACGTGGTGAAGCCACGTCCACCATCCGTACTCCCCCAGAGGGCTGCGGCAGAGAGAAGCCCAGTCAGTGGCCCGTGGCAACAGGAAAAGAATCGGGCACCTAGAAAGCCATCGTGGGCCTGCAGCGGAGGAGAGGGACTGGCGAGGGGACAGCGCTGATGTCCCCTGACCCTGGGGACTGCCGCCCTCCCTCTCCAGTCCCGCAGAGCTCTTGGCTGCAGGTGTAGTCACAGACCATGGCTGCTAGGACTGTCCCAGCCTCAAGCAGTCTGGTTCTGCTGTTCCTACGAACCAACTGTTATTTTTGTAAAAAATTGTCAAAGCAAGAAAAAAAAGAATGAGAGACTGTTTTCCTGCTCGTGCTTTTCTCAGAAGATGGGCTAGTTGTTCAGGCTACTTGGCACTCACTTCGTCTCTCCATTCATTCAGCCAGCAAATACCAAGTTACTACTGTCCTGTTGTCCTCATTTTCTGGATGAAGATGTGACTCTCCCAGGGCCCACGCCTGGGCCATCCCTGCCCGTGTTCTCCTAAACCCTCAACCCCGGTGTGGAGCTCCCCAATGTCATCCACGCCTTGCCTGGTTCTGGCTGTTGAGACCCCACTCCCTAACAGGCCTGTAGGTCAGTAGTGACGTCTCGGGTGGGTCTGACCCCACCCCTGCCTGACGCCCTGCACTCTGCCACTTGCACCTCCCTGACCCGCCACCCAGCCCTGCCAGGGCTGTCCTGACTCAGGACCAGGAGGCACCTGCTCCAAAGCTCCTTGTGATCTGCATGTCTAACCTAACTACTGATGACTCCTAAACTCAGATGGAGTTTTAATTCCTACTTCTAGGCTCGCATCTTCTAGACAGGTTTCTACTGAGGTTTAATCCCTGCAGCAATGCTCTAAATAAAATAAAATAAAAGCAGGCTCCATGGCCAGATAACTTTGGGAAACTTCCTTTGAAGATACACAGCACACCATTATTTCTGGGAAGCTTTGCAGTAGAGAAACTTGCTTCAAATTTCTCATTTGATGAATTTTTAAACTAAACTACAATTAAATGCATACATTAAGGATTTCTGACTTTCACCATAGGTTCGCCTGTCATCCAGGACTCCGGACTGCCTTTCTGTTATGAAGGGACTCCTTGCCCAGGGGTCAGACGTGGGAATCAGATGGCTGGAAGGACACGCCACGCGGCGCTAGTGGAGCAGCTCCCTCTGCACGTGCGCTGAAAGCGGCACACGGCTGCTCTCCTGGTTTCACAGATTAAATAATTCACATACTGTGGCACACTAAACCAGACTCTATCAACCCCCGCCCCCAAACCTGGCAAGTGAACTACCTCTCGTCACAGACTATTCAAGAAATAGCTGCTACATTTGAAAGATAATTTAATTTTTAATTTCTAAGTTTTCACTTAGGCAACATAATAAAGGCAGATTTATGTGGCCAGACATGACATGTTTACAAAAAACAGTGCCCCGATCATCTGGTTAGTAGTAGATAAATATTTACAATGAAAAAATAGGCAAGGAAAAGGAAATCTTCATTATCCAAGTCCATTTCTTTCCAATGCTTATCAGAATTCTGAAAATAAAATAGTACATTAACTTTTTAGTCACTCATATTTACACACTGTGTCAGCTGATGGTTTCGAGAAATTTGGCTGCACCGATTAAGGATGTTTTTCTTCTATGTCACTCCTTTTTTCTATACTAGTTTAGAAGTTATCTGAAATAGTAAATTGAATATAAAAATGTAAACTTTGAAAGAAGAGAAAATAAGAATAAACATGTGTAAAGGTAAATGCATTAAGATACAAAGGTTTTCATAGAGATTAATAGTTTACAGCACTGAAAACACCGAAATAAGATACTCTCTATATTTTATTTGTAGGGTCATTTGTTTCAATTTAATCTGATTATGTTAACAAAAATTGCCTGTGAAGATGTTAAAAAAATAGCAATAACTTTACTGTGTTAACTGATAAATACCCTTCACCCTAATTATCTCTAAAAGAAACGAATTGTTTCAAAACATGACAAATATAAATGATGTACGGTGAGCTTAAGAAGCCACAACAAGTTCCGGTATCTTTTAACTAGAAAGACTTATAGAAATAAGCTTGAGTGATGCAAACCGGCCTATTTAACTCCTTGACATCACAAATACACTGCACTCCGACGCATGACACAGGACTTTAGTTCCCCCGTGCACCAAGCCGCTGACACACTGAGATGCACGGGCAGGAACGGGGGACACCGCGGCATGTCGCTGCCCCGAGGACCTGCATGTGAATGTTTATGTCAATGACGCCGGTCACAGCACCTGCAGCTCCCTGGGGTGACGCAGGCGCCTCACGTGCGGGAGCAGCGTCGCCCTCTGGTGCCCAGAGACACGCGGAGTCGTGGCTCTCGAGCTTTATAATGCTCGTTGAAGTCCAACCTGAAGCTGAGAAACCGGAGACTTTCATCAGAGCTGGTCGTCAGCAACACCAGGAACTGCTGCACGATACCCTAGAAAGGAGCAAGAGCCACGACATATTCATCTCAGAAAATGACTGTCCACAAGCACGTCCCCGCCCCCTTTCATCCTCTCTGGGTTTGTTTTCTCCCCCCAGATCGACAAGCCTTTAATAAACACCCCCACGGCAGGGGTCCAGGTGGTGAGAGCTGCTGCAGAGCCCTGGAGTCCACTCTGCCAGTGCAGCCACGTTAGGAAGAGTCACCATTTCTACAAATACAAACTAGCAACGAGCACATCTTATTCAAACGCAACTAACCAATAGGTTTTCCCCTTTTGCCCTTAAGTTTCTATGAGAATAAGCAAAACAGCAAAGCCACTGACGTTAAAACATCCTACTCCTTTTATTTTTTATGCACAACTCAGGTTGACGCCTTTCATCTTTCACGTGACTTATGAAAGAGGATGTAGTCATGAAGCCCTGCTGGAGGACAAACTGAGAACACAGAGAATGGATCCACGCTGTCCACCGTGACCTCGGGGCTCCAGAGCCACGGTGAATGTCAGGCCACAGCCACCTTCCTGAAGGGGTGGACCGTGTCCCCATGTCACCTCATTAAGAGGGTTCGTGGAGCACATGTTAAAATGGCTAATGCAGAATATTCAGTGGCACGAAATAATCTTCAGTAGCTGCTTCAATTTTAAAATAATACAAATTACAGAACACTACTACTTACTCTGCACAGTATAGTCTTATTTCATTAAAGATGTTAGACAGTA